TAACCGGAAAATCATTTCCTTGGATGTCATCATTTCCATTCCCTGGATGGATAGACTGCTGTAGAATATTCTAGATTAGACATTACGTTTACATTACTCACCACCACCAATCCAAAACGGTACAATACGATAGCCTAGACCTATATGTAGGCCTATCCATGAAATATGGTGATACAAACGTCGTCTCATGTCAAAAGAAAACACATTCTAAGCAGCAACATTCATTTTGTTTCTAAAATTGTTTAGCGGTAATGAGTTGTATTGTTTAATACAACCGCATAAACCGGACAAACGCATACTCTTTCCCCTGTTCTGGTTGGTCAGTTGTTAAGTTTGATTGAAATTTCAGAAGGGTCCATGTTATTAAAAACAGTTTGTTGTCATTTAATAATGATACTGAGTGTTCTGTATTAGTACTCAAGGTCCTTATAATATCCTGTTTATTTTAGAACGGTCATGCATCATAGGTGTGTATGCGCTAGTATCATGTACCCTTTTCCCCATTATGCTTAACGCCACAAGTAATTTGACCTATTGATCGTGCGATAAATGACACATAATCTCGTTTTGTTTATATAATATGTATGTAATGCAAATAAATAATTAAATATAGAATTTAAGATAGTCGTGCCGTCGGGTTAAATTTCCTTTATGCATATAGGGCATATCAAAATTCAGTACGGTATTTCGGCACTTTATTTTGTCAACTTCAGATGTTTTCTCAAATATTTATAAGTGTAACCATCCTTGAATTGAATTACGATTGTATTGAATCACGGTAGACCTGATTGTTGAAATACCTGTGAACAAAGCGTTAAGACAACGATTAATGGAATGTGTTGATAAAGTATAAGCCTTATATATTAAATATTTATATTGATTAATATATATAACAACGAAATAATATAAGAGAGGTGTTTCATGTTGATATCCTTCTGTCAAAGATAATACTTGTAAACTAACCTGTTTTTCTGTTTTTGTTTTTATATATTACAAATCTTGTTTATTTATAAGAACAGAATTAATAAATAGATATAAAGATTCAATTAATTTTTTAGTTTTAGTAAAAATATGGCAACTGATAAATTACTAAAGTAAATGTTGAGACATTAAAAGCGAATGTCAAATACTAATGAAACATTTCCTTTATGCATATCAAAAGTAAATCCAACCACGACCAGAAGATGTATGGCGTTATATTTAAGATTAAGTTCTTCAAAACTTGAAATAAATAGTGGTTCCCACAAATGAGAACATTTTTATATACTAAATATATTTGATATTATTTTTAATGTCAGACCTATTGATTGTATTACCTTGTCAGTTTTGTCAGTATTTATTATTGATCTTGATTACATTAATTTATATTTATTTATTATTGTTTTACCTTAAACTTGAATTTATTTGTTTGTATTGATTAAATTGATTATGACGATTGTCTTGATAACATTGATTGCATTGATCATTTTGAGCATAATCATTAGGCCTATGGCTGCATTCGTGCATTTATATTGCCGTAAAACTTCGAAAAGAAGCTCTAGGCTTCTCTTTTGCGATCTTCGGATGGGTTTATTTTCGAATGGGCTTTATTTCGAGGCTACTTTTGCAAAATAAAGAGGGGGCTTCTTTTCAAATTGAATGCTGTAAATGTTTGGAATTACTAATATAAAACAATAAATAGGGCAAGTGTAACGTCAGTCTGTATCATGGAGTGTATTAACCGGTATTAAATCACCTAAACTACTGTATAAACCAAACATGTTAAATTTATTTTGTTTGTTTGAAACTCAGGTACACAATAACAGTGACAAGATTTTTTCTTTAATATAGGCACTTTAAAAATGTGTTTTATTATTATTGTTATCTCTAAAAGAAGCCGTTGTACACTACTAGTATTTAAGATCTCGTCTGTATACGGTATCCTGCCTACACCATGTTTTTAATAAATAAATAAAATAAATATCTCTCAAGAGACTCTACCAATAAACCTGCAAGTACAAGCGAGTAGAAGCATCGACATTTTCCTTTAAAATAACTATAATCAAAACGTTAAAATTGGAAAAAAAAATAAAGAATTTCTCTATATCTCACCTCTTGATCGTCCTCTCTTCTAGCTGTACCTTTATCAGCAAACATATAAATGCTTAACCCCCATCAACCACAACACCTACGAGGCAGAATAATTCACGACCCTCAGATTCTGTACATTTGGGGGTCATTGGATCGATCACCCCTGCTAGCACCCGTGAAGGGGTGACGGCGCAGTGATAGAGTGGGTGATTTAGACCTTCAGACCGGTAAGAAAACGGTAACGTTGTGCAAAGTTTTACCCCTCCGAGTGTTGGTTGATGCAGCGATCTCGAATCAGCTAGTGGAGGGCAAAATCGTTAAAAAAAAGTTCCATTAAACCTCGTTTATGGATGTTACTTAAAAGCATCGGGGTTGATGTAAAAGATTGCCCTCATAAAGGACTGGTGTCTGGTTGTTATCTCGATCGGCCCCACGTTCGGCCTCCTTCCCCCCACCCCTTTTCTTTTCGTCTGTGGGTCCGGCCCTGTAGAGTGATTTTAGCTGGCAAAAAAGTGTAAATAGTCAGCAGCTATTTTCTTCATTAGGGATGGAGAGGGTCATTCATGAGAATAATGTTCAGGAAAAAATTATTGTTGGATTTTAAATCGCTCAAACGATGGGGAGGATGACAGGACAAAAGACGGTTCCCCAAGTTATTTAAAGTCAGACTCTGGAGGGAAAATGTTTTGATATGTTGTAAAATTGATTTTTCGCAGACAGAAAAAAAGTTGTTTGACGACAAACTGGGTAACCGGGAATGAAATACAATTTTTCAATATTTAAAAAATGGGTGTGGGGGTGGGAGAAGATGTAAAAATGGGCGGTATTAAGAAAAATCAGTTCTACAACATAATATTTTCCCCCCTCCGGAGCCTGGCTTTAAACTTATTCCATTCATTCTTTCATTAAACCCAGTCATCCTACAAATAATCCGGACCCATTACATCACAACCTCACGAAAGACCGCCGAAGGCGGCCTTTTTGCGAGTGTCTATACATTTTAATAGAATATAATGAACGGTTCTTTTATTCTGTCATTGTTTCTTTCCATTATTTTTATTACCGACTGAGGTCTGTGTTCCCACACTGATATTAGCCTCATTATAATTACAGTTCTCAATTAATTTATCTGTTAATTATTTCTATTCTTACTCCACATCACCATGTTCATTATATTCTATTAAAATGTCGACCAATCATATTATACTTTACTTTTTATCATAATTATTGTAATAGGCAACTTATATTTTGTTTGTCACACATGATGAAGAAGACCCGAGGACGGGTAGAAATATTCATGTTTTGAATAAAATTTGTGTTCTAAGTCTACCAAATCGTTGACATCTCATCGTCTTTTTCATTGAGTTATATATCTGTCTCTTATACACATCTAGATGTGTATAAGAGACAGGTATTTGTGTAATGTATGACATTGCATTTTTTTTACTAAAGAGGGCCCCTGAATATCAGCTTCAAGAAGCTTGAAGGACTACCCCCTTAAACATGATTGAAATAAAAAAAATAAAAAAAAATAAAATAGTGTCGTCGTTTGCGCTCGCACAGACTGGGTGAGGCATTTGCCGGCGACGGTCTTACCACCATGGAGGAATTAGTTTAGACCAAACTAATTCCTACATGGTCTTACAACGCAGTGTGTGCTTAATTTCAACCTGGAGTAATTAGCTTAATTAGATTAATTAGTTTAAATTAATTCCTCCATGATTCCAATGATATAATAATCTTCTCATTTCCAAACAATTCTAAGTGAAAGTGGGTTTTGAATAATATTTTTCAGTTCAGGTGGGTTAATAGCTTGGTATACTACGGCTTGTCTCTGAACTCGGGCTCTCTATCTTCAGACCCCTACATGAACTTTTTCCAGAGTGGTCTGGTCGAGATCCCAGCATGCATCGCGTGTCCATTTATAATTCAAAGGTGGAACTACCTCAAAGGTATATTAGTTTCAATAATAATAATAATAATAATAATAATAATAATAATAATAATAATAATATGTTTCGACTTATATAGCGCTTCGTGCCAAAGCATCACATACCTGAGAGTTTTGAGCTTCTTAAACTTTTAAAACATTGTCAGTGCATGTGTTGTCAATTATCTCAATTAATGTTACATTCATCCATAGGTTTGGAAGACGTTCGTCTGTTTGTATGTATTTTCCACGTGGTTGGGGGACTTGCTTGTAATGCCACTGCATTTATACCACCTGTCACAGGTGATTAAATAATAATAATAATAATGTCGTTCTTATATAGCGCCTAATGCCTTAACAAAGCCGCTAAGCGCTTCACATTATTACCCCGGTCACTGGATCAAACACATATGGAACACATTAAACACTAAATGAAATTATTAAATTAAATTATATCTCCATAATATTGCGGCTAGTAATCAGCGCAGTGTTGGAACCTACCAGGTACCCACTTGTACTCCTGGGTGGAGAATGGTTATCATTGTGTTAGATTTCGGAAACAAATACAGTAAGCATAGTTGATTGTTGAAGATAAAGACGATGACGACCGATCATACTTCATCTTTCTTTATAGTCCTGAAAGAGGTTTATAATTTTAGGACTATACTTTAATAGACGTCTATCGGTTGGTTTTCTTTGTATTTCTATATCTTATACTTAGCTTGGAGTAGCTGAAGATTCTCCTTGTAAGGGACAATTAAATGTTTAAGTACAATGTACGTTTTATATGAAAATCTGTTGGGCGACAAACGTGCATACATGTATTTGGTGATAATGTTTACGTTCGCCGTTTACGTACTTCCAATGAAAGTAACCAATGTACGATAATTCTAAGAGTAATACGGTACTTTGCCACTTACAGCCTCGTCCGCTCTGCATATTATGCACACATATTATGTGTAATCAGTAATGATATTGCAACGGTTTAGTATTACTCTAGTTTATTGAAAACTTTCTACATTTTGTATTCGTAGATAATGACGCAGACTTAACCATACTGATTCTTACCACTACGTTGATCGGTAAATTAGGAATAACCGCCTCCTACGCTATTGTGTTTTTGTACACAACACAATTATACCCTAGAGTGATACGGTAAGGTATAATAATAGGCCTTTGTCATCTTTAGATCGTGACAATGCCTTATGTTTCGGTTCTGTGCAAGCAGTGCCAGGTCTACTCTATCACACATTCGCCAACAATGGAAGGGATGAACATTCATTAATGCTTTATAAAAGTGGTTAAAAATCTATGTAATGTTTCCTCATCGTTTATATCTGTAAACTTTGTAAAATAGAAAAATACTTACGGATACTGGTTGTTGAGGAATAGATGGAATTGACAATTTCCACAAATATGTTTTATAACAATAACACTAACTTAGCAACAATCGTTTTTTAATCACAGTTTCAAAGGTACTGTACATGCAACCAAAGAGTATAATCTTTGACGTAACTAACACAACGGCTATCACCTTCACTACTGTCATTCTCTAAGTGTCTCAACCAAATATTGTAGTCAGGCTCAGGAGGAGAAACTGTTATACTGTGAACAGATTAGCTGTTTTTACACAATTTTCTTATGTGTTATACCTGTATTTTCAGAAATCTTGGTGTCGGTGTTTGTTCGTTTTCCTCTCGGATCGGCGGCATAATGGCACCTTTTATACTGTTGTTGGTAGGTAATCAAAATAGGCCTAGTAAGTCTATTTTGGCACATGATTATTTAAAAAAGTATATATTTGCAATGCAAGCAAATGATGATTCCTGCATGCTCATATAATTTCCCCTCACCTAAATTCATTCCCCTCACCCAAAATACAGTAAACGAAACCCTCTTGTCAACTTCCAGTACAGATCCCTAGTGAATGTTTGCCATCAGCAAAATAACATAAATGAACGTCAATAAACTAAAAATTATAAAGTTTCGTGTATGACCGTGTGCCCAATCCCTTATCAATTTCACGTATTCGAATAGTTCCCTCCAAATAGGGTACGCATAGTGGACAATTTCTTTGTTGTAAAGCATATTCTGGAATGTGCTGTAAGAGTCGAGGTATAATTTAAGCAAAGAAACCAGCATCACCGTTCCGTTTACCAGTACTTGATGGTCAACTAGCGCATACTTGCCTCCATCGTAAGTGTACACGTAAACTATTTTAAAATAATATTTTACGAAACATATTGTATAAACATGTTCTACTCCTTCCCGAGACGTAAGGTAGGAGATAACCAATGGCAATAGAGAAGGTGGAGATGGGGGTAGGCTTACACATGAATCAATCACAGAAGGCCATAGACTGTGAATATCAACATTTTAAATCATAGGTCTTTATAAGAAAAGCAGTGGAATCCAGTCGAATTGGGGATACTCTCCGAATAATAGTATGGTCTATCTACTGTTCCAATGTGAAGAAGTAATTTATAGTAGAGCTGTAGTTGGCAGGATTTGGAGAAGTATGGATTAATATGCATGATAGATATTTCGTAACATGGATATTTCGGCAATTAGCTTCCTTATCTTCTGTGCCCGCTGTCCAAGCCTTTCGTTGAAGTCATAATATCGTTTTTGTAATTTCCCTCTTAAATGTCAATGTAGATTATTTATCAAAAAGTTGGTTGGGTTTATATAATAGAATACAGGAGACCCGAGGAGGTATTATTCACGTCCTTATGCGTATCCATATAAAATACGGGTCATATTTAACTTTTGTTCTTGAATTATTGTCATAGAGGTCACATAAAGTTCGTAGGGCTTTACCAATTTGATTGTCGCTGTTGAGTAGTAAGTAGCTTCTCATATCCCAATGCCTATTATTCGACTGCACGTGACATTCAACTGCAAAGAAATATTTAGATCATTTTATGTAATGGTTAATAAAAGAAATATAACATACTCTAATTTTGCACAATATTAAGTCACTATTGCAAGCACCGCCTTATTAATACACATGATAATATGTTATTGTTATTCCTACTGTTCATTAACATCATCGTCATCATCGTCACCATCATCATCATCATCATCATCATAATCTTCATCATCATATCATAATTTTTTGTAAAAATGTATGAAAATGTATTATTCAAGCTAAAATGACGAAAATCTAGGTCGACGTTTATCTCCAAAAGGAGCCCAAAATACTTACTTAGACCTAATAAATATGTGTCAAAAGTTTATTGAATAGGTCTTTTCTGCTGTACTCAATTTAACTTGACAATATTACATGTCCAATTCCTGATTCAGGCTGACTAGTTTTCAGAGACATAGTCGGCCTGATCATGCTTTCTAAATTGGACGTGAAATATTGTCACATAAAATGTTGGTTCTAGTACAAAATATCCATTAAACTAATCTGGATAACTGAAAGTATTCACAGATGTGTCAAAAGGCCAATAATAAACTATAAATAATAAGTGTGATACAAAAACAACAACAACAACAACAATAATAATAATAATAATAATAATAGTAATAATAATAATAATAATAATAATAGTAATAGTAATAATAAATTTAATTGGAAAAGATGAACGGAATAATTATAGAAAACCGTCGGGACTATAACTTCCGATCATACCTTTAGCTCAAGTGTGATCCTGTGATAAATATCTGGTTTATAGCCATCCAGTGTAGATATATCATTTCCATGAGAAATGAGGTTCACCAAACACATTGTTCCATCTAATGAACTACACTTTCCACACACAGGTCCACAGATGTACTTTTTCCTAAAGTAGTCCAGGTTGAAATCCCGATTGATTATTTCTTCAATAAAAATAATCATTTTCTGTAGAACGAACATAGTTTGAGTGTTGTCTTCACTTACAACTTCAACTTTGATAAGATTTCTGTCGTATGAATTACCGGTAATGTTTCCAGAAATTACTTCTGTAGTAATGACGAAAAGACATGATTTACATGTCCTAAATTTTGCTTCATTGGAATGGATCTCATCCCAACTAAACTCTTTACAACATTCAGCGATGAGACGTAGAAATATAAATTCTTGAAGAATTTCACCAAAGTCGAAATAGAAAATGTCTTGCGAGTGAACACTGCTGTTCTGTGTTGACATTAAATTGATCTTTGGTGGCAGTCGACAGGAAAGAAAAAAAGTGCCGACTTGGTCGATTGGATCAATAACTTTAAGCGGGAACAGTAGATGTGTTCCCACTAAGAAACGAATTATGTAAGGGTAATGTCGCCAAATGTTTTTCTCTCTACATATGTGTTCAAGTAATTCACTGTCAACAATGCCAGTGTCTTCCAAATGCTGCCATAAACCAGCTACTGTCCGATTTCTTTGGTGAGGTTCAGGCACATTGACTAATATTGTCAGAATGTCTATGAGCATTTGAGGGTCACATATAACGTAATGTCGGAGTGTCTCATCACGTTCATTGTATATGACATCACCAGATCTGTCAAAGAAGTTCAAGAATTGGCACAACTCATTCTGAGAAATTATATTACATGCTGATTTGACTTCCTCAAAGATCTCTACTAAACTCATGATAATGTATTTTTGTAGGCGAAACCTGTTCAAAATTTCATGAAATAAAAGGTATTTTACTGAATGATTCTCCTGAAAAAAATCCAATTTTTTAATCTCATTATAGATAACTGTTCGTAGCACGTTTCGTTCTTGGTCTACTTCTAACGAATTTTCTATAAAAAAGAAAAAGTTACCTAAAGGGTGGAACGCAAGTAACCTAGAAAACGGTTTGTAGAGACGTGCTTTCGCAAGTTGAGTAAAATGCGAAAGCGCATTTATGTCAATAACACTTTCTCGTCTTGTTCCTACAAGAAACACTACGACATTTGTAATGTCTCCATGCATAGCAACTGATTGCAACCAAAATTGTAGCCGTTTTATTTGTTCTCCAGGATTTATAACCGCGTTAACGGTGTTGAACAGTATTAGATAGACGCCCTGCTTTGGCATAAAAAGATGGTGGGTGTTATAGTATATGTTTTGTCCTGCAAAGTCCCATAGACTGAGTCTAGCATCCAAATAGGGTTCATTACGAATACCTGCTTCCATTGATTTTTTTATATGCTTTACCGGTATGGAGGTTGTATTCTTCACTTTCACATACGAAAACCATTCGTAGACAAAAAAGGCAATGATCGGTGTCAGAAAGAGGAATAAGCTCAACAAATATCGTGAAAGAGAATATTGGGTATGTAAGTTTAGAGTTCTTAAATCTACCAGTTCCCACCCACAAAAATATGCTATAAATATACCAGCTACAAAACCAACAGATTTCTTTATAATATACATTTGAGGAATATACCCATAAGCAACAAACTTTCTTCCTAAAAGGACTCCAGCCGCAAGTACAAAAATACATGTACATATAAACATAAAGCGTAACAAATCCGGACCTCCAATAAAGCCCGCGGCTGTGAGACAAAAAAAAATGAGTATTAATACAGGTATACAGTTCCGTCGACTCATCGACAATATCTTAAACGTTAGCAAACTAATAATTATAAGTATGATAATTATCAAATTATAATATGTGTTGCTGTAGATGACTAATAGCATTTCTTTAACATTATCAATGGTAAATGTTTTCTGTTTAGGATGCACCATAATACAGAATGCTATGCATATTCCAGTTCTACCACCTATTCCCATAAGCACGCCAGCAATTAAGCCAGCTACTACATACAGAACCATCGTCAAAGTAGAAATGTTGATCCACAGACGCAACTTAATTACGCTGTCTACGAATGCCACTCCAATAGTGTATCCGCAACCGAAGCGGTACGCAGTGTGGACATCGGTTGCGTACATCAAGTAAATAATATACATCCACACACCTAGTCCAAATCCGAATGTAAACACACCGTCTAAAAACATAACTAAAACGGGAATAGCGTGTGTTATCTGATAAAATGTGTCTTTCTTTATAAATGTAGGCGAGATCTGTCGATTGACTTCAGACCTGCTACCGGGCCTTGTGGTTTCATTCGCATCCTGTTTCCTCATATGTGATACGGCCCACCATGCTGCCGAAGTTTCAAAGTCTTCTAGTGGTGTATTTGATACTTCACGCCACTTACCGTTAACATCACTAACTTTTGCTTTGACAGTATTTGTTTCGATTCCTGGTGTACTTGGCTCGTCATGCCGAAAATCCTTACCTTGCAAGCGTCTACTTGTCGATGTTTTTCCCACACCTTGGTCTCCTAAAATTAAGATTTTTGATCTGTTAAAAGGAAGTCTTCCTCTTATTCGTGCTTGTTCATAGGCTGTTTTAATCTCCTTATCGTCTGCAAGTACGCGCAAATTAAAACTACGTTCATATGAGTAGAAACCCCGTAGAAAGCTTATATCTTTTTCATTCATCTCGACGTACAACTGTTCATTAAACTGTTTCTTTCAAACTAAGTTCACTCTTAACCTGATTTGAACAAGTATAAACAAAATATAAACACACCTATATAAAGCAAAGGTACCGTAGTCGAAACGTTATATGTAGGCCTATACACAGAGCATTATTGGTGAAAGGCAATTTTAGTCAATTTTCCAGGATCATTGTTGTCTTTTCACGGTGTTTCAATAACACACTGATACCAGATACAATTGTTAACAACAGCATGCTTATGTATACATATGATGTTTCAACCACCATTTCCTTATATAGGTGTATTTTGACCTTGGACTATATTTACTTTAAACGGCGAGTATCATCCACTATACATTACCGACCTATACGGAATAGAGGAAAATCCAATCCCCCCAGGCACTCTCTTTCATGCAATTGACATAGTTCACATATAATGGAGCAATTGTTAAGCTAGAATTGGGTGTGTATAGAAACTAAGACCCTGAAAATTAGGACCAATTCATCACACACTTCGGCAGGGACGTAGCCAGGATTTTGAAAGAAGAAGGTGGGAGCCGTTTTGCGAGGTAGGCACGTAGGACCACGGGGGGGTCCAGGGCGAATCCCCCTGGAAAGTAACACGCTCTGATGGTTTTTAGGATTGTTTTGATATATGGTGAAAATTATTAATAATATTAGTAAGCCAAACAATAATTATATAAAACACAACAGTGGTGGATCCAGGAATTCAGAAGAGAGGTGACCCACAGGGAGGGACTTTACAGATTGAGGAACCACCCACCTCAGCCCCACCATGCCAATATTTTTCCATGATTTATAATAATTAGAGTAATGCAAATGCATATTTTCTAAAAAAAAAAAGTCAGTTTTTAGAGAAATTTTGCCGGGAATGGTGCTTTAATAGCCAGGACACCTTAGGCCTAACTGGAGATAAGCTTTAACTATACTATAATAATTATGATCAACAAATCCCAACTTACTTTTTCAACTTTAGCACAACTTTCTTCACTTTTTAATATTATTACTAAGCCAACTCAGGCTTGAGCATTAAATCACAATAGAAATGTCATCATTATAACTAATATACAGGTAATACTAGGCCTACAACAAATAAATAAATTCTGGTTTATACAATTTTCACTCATTGCAATGACTTTTGAATTGAATGTTAATCTACATCGTATCAGTAGTTATATTACGATATCCTAGCTAGCGCTTCGTGTAAAGCCGGATGCGTCGTACGACAGTCGAACGACCTTCGTACGACGAACCCAACTCCACTCCCTGTTAGCGCTATGATACGCGACGACGTCTTCTAATTGTCAGTGGCAGTCTGAAATGAACGTCATTAAAATCGATCAGTTGCGCGCGCGTCGTTGCGTTCTTCATAGGATCGTGTCGGCCGACGACGTCGAGCGCAGTGAGTGCCCGATTTTAGTTTTCATTGAGAGCGGTGATACAGTAGATTATTTTCCCGACGGTCGTATGAGGCATGAGGACCGGCTTTAGTTGTCGGAAGGTTAAGTAATTCAATGGCGGATCCAGGAATTTGAAATAGAGGGGGCTCACAGAGAGATTTTCACAGATGGAGGGTCTATTTGTGTTTATAGCTCCTATAGATGGCCAGAAATGGGACTCGGATTCAAAATTAGGTGGTGTGTTTACATGATAAACTTCACATAGACAAAAAGTCCTATTTCCAACGATTTTCAAAATGCACGAAATGATATCTTATAACTCTTTATTATTCCTGAGCTTTTCAAGTGAAAAAGTTGGAAAAACGATCGTTTGAAATAAAAAATATGTTGATTAAAAAAAAGAAAAAAAAAATTGAAAGGGAGGAGGTGATAAACTAATACTTTTTTATGGGGCCTTAGCCTCGTTTAGGATGTTACAGAGAAGTATCGGGGTTGACGTAAAATATTGCCCTCATAGAGGACTGGTGTCTGGCTGTACCCCTTGGTGTCATCGCTACTGGAAAGCAGCAAAGCCCACTAGGCTTGTGTGGTTAAACAACCAGATTCGCATATCTTTGAGTCGAAGCGCTTCTTGAGGACGATCGCTTGATGCGTTGTTTTTAAGGTTGTTGACATCATTGCACAATCAGCAGAAATCCCATTTCCGGATGTCGTACCTGGATCTAATTAAATTAATCACCGTAATTTAGCTTTACACTTATGAATTTAGGGAGCACTTAAAATGTGAAATAATCATATCACTACCCGACAAACTTCGAACTTTATTCATTCATTAGACCTCATATTGCTGTACTATACTCCAACATCACTGGCGAGTGGTAACAACCGACTGCAGACCATTTCCGGTCACACATTACTCTCCATAACACAGCACCCCCTAGTTCCGTCACCTCTGGATCCTATTTTCTAGATTAAATCATATACCTCAGTGAATCCAGGAATTCTAAACAGAGGGGCCCGGTGAGGGACTTTTTCAGATAGAAGGTCTATACCACCATAACCGCACCAAGGTTAAATTTAGGGGACCCGGTTCACCCCCCACCCCCACTGAATTCGCCACTGTATCTCTTGAGAGAAATTATATTATTAAGTTAACAGCAAGAAAAGAATCAGAGCTTTTGGACAACCTCATGCTATATACATATCGTGCTTGGACGTACAGAATACAAACCGTATAAAATAGGTTATTTAAAACGACCAAGCAAAATTGAGTATATAAATTATTAAATCATTCTGACCTTCTAACTACTGAGATTAAACGATATGATAACATCTCACTTCTATTTATGAATTTATGAGGCACTAAGTATATTTATATTTATATATTTATATTTGCGCTATATAAATCCATCTATTATTATTATTATTATTATTATTTAAGTGTAAATTTATTATTTATATATAATTTATATAATTTTATATATAAATTATAAATAGTAATTCCAGAATACTTGTATGTAGTAATTTAAAAATAATTATTTATAAAATATTATTCTCGAATTTTCATTATTTATCGCATTATTATGAGGGGGGCGGATGCGCACCCCCGATAGGTGCGACTTTTCAGGGGAAAAAAACTTAACTACAGAACAACTTAACTACAGAAATTTAACTACAGAGATTAATAAACACGATTATTGATTGTCCCTAAAGGTAAATTTATTATATATTTAATATTGAATCGAATTGTCATTATTTATAAATAATGAAAAAAAAATACAGAGTCGTTAGAACTATATAATATTTTTTCTTTCTTTATTTATTTGCCCTTTTCATAAATAATACAAAGTTTTAAAAGTATGTGAAAACATGATAATGGGTAAATTAGGAAACCAAAAAATAGCGTAAAATGTAATCAAGTCTGGTTTCACGTATATAAATAAATAATGGTGATTCATAAAAATAAAGGCTTACACTTATGTAAATAATGACCTCCGAATTCTTTATTATACAGTATATTAAATAATGAATTATATATATATATAAACTAAACAGTAAATTGACCCTTGGCAACTCATATTAGTTTTATACTGATGCTGCTATGGTTTAGGGTCAACGTTCAATTGTGCAGAACATTCACTACGATAAGATAGTACAGCAGCAGGGTTCTGGCGACGGTGGGTGAGGAATTCCTTTGGATTTCCTACCCGTGGTAAGCCATGGAGTTGGACGATGCTTTAATTCTTCTAGGAGAATTCGGATGCTACCAAACGATCATTTATTTAATATTATCAATTGTCGGCCAGGTATCATCTGTTTGGCATATGCTAGGCATTTCGTTCTTAGGTGCTTTACCCGATCACCGATGCAAATTAAGCGCCGATGTTCCTGTCGAAGAAGGTATACCTAAAGTGTCCGATTTAAACGGGGGATTTGAATTTTCCAGCTGTGACATGTATGCGAACTATACGGCTAGTAATGAAACAACAGGCTGCGATGAATGGGTTTATGATGACAATGTGTATGGCGAGACAATAGTTACTGAGGTACGATTTTATATGTAAATATTTCAACAACTTACGGTATAGATAGATATTCTGTGTATGGTACGATACAACCTATGTTTCTTTAGAAATATTGATAATTTGTATCTACTTTTTCCACGCATTCCGCACTGTATATATATATATATATATATAAATATATATATATATATATATATATATATATCTTTGATGATTTATATATATAATTTAACAGTGTTAACGGCTATCTTGATTTATATTATATATATATATATATATATATATGTTGCACTTATTTTATAAAGTGTAGGTAGGGTGTGTCTGAGACAAAAATAAAGAAAGGGTTGAAGTATTTCGGGACATAAATGCAATTTATTTTAACGGTTGGTCCTCTTCCTAAGGACTAGTGTAACTAATTAACACTACGTAGATGTAAGTACGGTATTCATTCAGTAAAGTAGTACAGATTACTGTATTTATTCTACACTAAATGACTGTAAACAAGTGATGTAAGCAACATCATCTCAACATATTCTGTTCTACTCCAGTAGAATTACATTTCTCTAACCTGGCTGGGATCAATAAGTCTTTATAATCACGCAATAACACATTTTGACGCCAAATGTTGTAGCTACACATTTAAAGTAAAATGGTGTAAAAATGGCGTTCATTTGAGTAGGCCTATTATATGTACCTATTGTACACCCAAAAATAAACGCCTTCCTTGAATAAACGCCCCTCAAAACCCTTCTC